GTCTTTAATTTTTTTGTATTTTCAGTTGAACTCCAAAGAAAACTCAGCTTCCGCGATCCTAGCGCATGCTTTCAAATGATGTCTTTGGTGTTTCTGATAGAAATACTGTTCTAAGCATTACTATGAAGAAGTATTCCGTCATAAGTTGAAGAAACTACATAGGGTGGCTACAAAACTCACCTTTCTTGGTAGTATAGTTTTCTTTCCAGATCCACTGAATGCATACGGACCATAGTGCATAATGGATGAATAGTCATAGGGCTCGTTAAGATGGTCGATGACATGCATGTTGTACCCAAAAATATCGAATATTTAGTGTTAAATCGGAGTACTTTATTGAGCTCCGTCGACTCACTTTTCAAATTGATCGTCAGCTCCATTCTGAACGTTTCGCCACACTATTTCGATAAATTCATCGCGGTCATGTCTGAACACCAATGGATTGCTTACAAATGGTTTCGGTGGCATGTGACACGATCAGGAAACTGACTACAATAATCTTCATTTCGCTGTTGTGTAACCTCGAAATGATTCTTTTTTGTTATATTCTTATGCCGTGGAAGGCTTTTAGGTGCAACTAACTCTTGAAACAAAGACCTAACGTTCCAACGCAATCGCCTTCTTTAGAAGCCCGGTCGCATTTCGATATGGCTGACCTACAGGCGGCAGAATTCGTTGTCACCTGTAAGTACCTACTAAGGCTCCTTGTAGTCTACTTCGTGTTTACGATGAGAATGATCCCACTATGGTGCTACTAGATCACAACTTGCTCTACGATATGAATGGCAAATATTGTAGGTTGCAGGCGGACACTAATACCAACCGTTCGTTTTGGTATTTCCTTTTCACATCTAGAACGCCTGTAATGTTTCACACAATGAGCTCCCTCCTCCTTTGCTACTTTGCTAATATTGTGCTCTGTATTTCGAAACGGTTGTGCTGCTCAACTTCATGTCGATCAAGTGTTGTCATCAGGCTGCTGCGTTTCATATTAGCGTGGATTATACATATTTGGTACATCACTTCTATTAGCGAGCATTCGACTCTATTCCTTGAGAACATAGGATGCAATCATTTGCTATACACTGCTTTTATCATGGAGGAGATCTTACAGCATATTGACTAATATCCTAACAAAAGCGCATTCCCTTGAGCAGTATAAGATGACTGGAATTTTGAGTTGCACAGCAATAAAAGGATTGCATCGGCCGGGAATCGAACCCGGGCCGCCCGC